GTTGCCACGCGCGCACACACGGAGCCATCTGGGTGTTTAGGAAGTACGGCTGACAAAGCTATCGCCTCTCTTTTCACAGCTCCCCATGCATAATCACTGTCTTCTACTGTAAGCGCACCTGGCGAGTCAAAAGGATGCATTTGTCCACAATAATTGGCAGAACCTTGCGAGGAAATTGCTAGGGTTGAAATCTCCCCAATTATTCTGTCCATTTAACGTCTTACCTCTCTAAATTGATCCTTTTTGGCAACTTCAAGGCCTTCATTTGCAACGCTGCTGTGGTTTGAAAAAGAAAAAAAAAGAACCGTGTCATTCGGTCTCCTCCTGCTGAAGAGGCACCGAGCAGGGATGAGGAAGAGCCGAGCTTCAGGGAGCAGAGGAACACACCTCGTTTTACCTACCGCCCTGCACTTACTCACTGGCTTGTACTTGAGGTTTGTTCTTCCCGAATCTGCTGCAAGCGTGAGCTGTGCAGCGAACCTTTGGTCCCACAGTGCCACCTGTTGACGAAAAACAAATCCAGGACTTTGCAGTCAGATATGCAATGGCCCATTTTAGCCCAGCATTGTCTTCCTCAAGCTTTTTTTGATAGCCAAATAAGTCTGGTTCGTATTCTACGTGCTTGCGACACAAAGTTAATTCTTGCACTGTCTCCGATTTGCCGTATTAAGTTATTCACCCCAATAAAACTAGCTGATTTGTCCTCGACTGTTGGTGAGGTCACCAGAGGGGCACTTGAAAGGAGAAAAAGGGAGCAAAGCAGAACAAAACTATTAAATCTTTCATCGTTTCCCCCACTCTCCTGTAACCTCGTTGCGCCGGTGTTGCCGGGGTCCAGACACTGAGGAGAGGCAATGGCCATCCATCACGTCCGATTATGCCGTTTAGATGTAATTGCAAACCCTTAAGGATCGCTGCAGCATCCTCGTCCCTGCACACGTAGACACACAAATGCACACACACACACACTAACACACACCTGCCGGGGAAAGAAAGGGTGGAATATCACTGTTGGTTCTGCAGACGGAGAGAGAGAGAGAGAGAGAGGGAGAGAGAGAGGGAGAGAGAGAGGGCAGGCAGCCACCTCCATACACATTTCACAGACAATCAAATTAGAGCTGGCGTTCAATACATCACTGACAAATTGTTTATTAAACAAAGGGCTTGAATTGCAGCATAACTGAGAAATATTCGAGCGACGAGAGAGAAGCTTTTATGTGTGTGTGTGTGTGTGTGTGTGTGCCCATGTAAGGTTTCCATGTTGCCCTCGTTCGCACAAACAACGCCATTTATGTCCTTCTCCACAACTGCAGACTCAGAGCTACCATTTAACAAATGCGTTGTGAGGACGTAAACACTGGAATGAAACAATGTCAATGAGGTCACTGTTAGTGTTTGATTCCCAGTGGGGGCCACCCACGTTCACACGGCACGGCGGAGCACTCTGGTTAAGAGCGACCGCCGTACGGTATGCTAATGTGCTGGGATCATTTCTTTCCTGTCGTCTCGTGTATCTAACAGGGAGGAACCTGCGGGTCATGTATAGAGGCATAATTCTCACATCTTATTATTGCTGAAACTCAAATGACAGGTCAACCCAAAAATATAACATACAAGCCGAATGCCTTATAATCCCATTATCCTAGTCCTATTAGTCCCATTAAAGAGAGGCAACTCACACCCAAACAATCTAGATTGATAAATAGCACGACAGGTATTTTGGGGTGAACTGTCCCTTTAATGATTTTTATCCTCCAACCAAAACGACGTTCGACATATTGATATAGCTAAGAGATCGAAGCCCTTTGGAAACACCTTTAGGGTTTGCAGATCGCACAATTCAACGCATTTTTAAAAGTCAGCACGGCTAACACAGCTGAATATCATCAGATTAGCTCTTCCATATACCGCACAAATCAGATAACGCGAGAAAAATAAATAAATCGAAAGTTGCTCCCCGGAGAGAAACTTTGGAGCCCATGATGTCGGGCGGGGCGGGAGGCTAAAGGTCACCTCTCGATTCTCCCGCTGCCGCATTGAGCCTCTACATGAGGGGGGCGACACCTGTCAATCAACCATCGCGCTGAAGACCTTTACACCGCGATAAAGGCTATTGAGCGACACAACGATCCCTTCGTTGAGAAAATGCCACGGGTGTGATAAAAAATTTTTTTTTAAAAATGGGGTCAGCCGTGTGTGGAGGACGAGGAGAGAGAGAGCGGCTCAAAGCTCTCCACTGGAGTGTGTTTGTGTCACTGCGGCCTCGCCGTGTCAGCGTGGCTTTCTTTGGGGCGAAATGATACAACAGCCGCTCGTGCAGTGCTGGGAGATCATCATCCCGTTTGGAGCGTGTGGAAGCAACGTGCAGACGTGTGTGTGTGTGTGTGTGTGTGTGTGGGGCTGTGTGTGTGGGGCTGTGTGTGTGGTCGTTGTGGTGCTGTGGTGTGATGCATGTCTTTAATAACAGTCCATTAGCTCTCTGCGTCTCCTTTGTGTTGTAGGTGTTGGGAAACGGCCGCCGACGGGCCGTGAATCAGAGCCCCGGCGCGCTGTTGTTTCATGTTGCTCCCAACGGGACGGGCCCGAGCACCAGCAGGGCTGCTGTCTGTTATCCCTCACCCCTCACTGACCCCCCCCCCGAGCATATTTTTCACCATTGTTTTCACTTTCTCTTCCCTTCCTCCCCCTCACGTTGCGGCTCCTTCCTTCTCACTTCTCACACTCTTGCCCCTCTCACATATTCTATCTTTCACTTCAACCCCCCCCCCCCTTGATAGACCCACATATTTGCTCCCTTTTCTAACAAGATTTGCCATCACAGCACCCGTCACCGATGCCAGCTTCTAAAAGCACATGCCAGGACATGCTGGAAGGACGGTGTGTCTCCCCGTCCCACGCAAGATCCATTCACCGCCACGAGGACTCTGACAAAACGCACACAAAAATCTGCCGATCTTGAGCGTTTACTCGCCCACCAACGGCCGCCACAACAACAACAACATCAACAGCAGGCTATAACTAATCCATCTCCCACTACATGTCTTTAATGAGCCTCCATAACCGCCATCCGTATGGTGCAGTGCGGCGCGGGCCAAAGAAAAACCGAGCCATTTCCATGACTTTGTGCTGTCAGCAAAACGTGAAGACCTGTGTGTGTGTGTGTACATTTTTGTGAGTTGCTGTCATCGAGCATCTGCGTCGCCGGTGTGCGATCCTGGTTGACGATTTTCCATCTGGTGGATGCGTGTGTGTCTGTGTGTGTGTGTGTGCATGTGTTTATTGTCCAAACAGAGGCCTATTTACCTGCATCATCCTGTCCTTGTCTCGAAAGGCACCAGGATTATTGGAAACAGAAGCTGATGGGTGCGGCGGCAGTCTGTGTGTGTGTGTGTGCGGAGGTGCAGAGGCTGCCAGGCCCCTTTCAGAAAACCCCCCACGGGGGCCACATTAGGGCCCTCCGGGGGCCAAATTAGAGGCAGCTAACCAAGTTAGAGTTCGGCAGCAGAGGGGGTCTGACTGGCAGGGATGGGCAGATTTCACTCCAGCCTCCTGAACTACAGCACACACACACACACACACAACTCCCCTCTTTGTTTTGCCGCTGATCAGCGAAAGATAAAAGCCAGTTCCTGACAATGGCAGCCTCTCTGTTTGGGGAGTCTGTGGGGAGATACTGACAGAGAGGAAGAGATATAATGTATTCCTGTAGGCCGGCCTGGTTTAGTGTGTCTGTATCGAGAGGAAGTAGTGATTTCAACCAAATTAGCCTTTGGAACAGGAATTTCTTCGAATGAAATCGAATTAGGGTTTTCATCCATATGTTCTCACTGGAAATAATACGGAATGATGAGAAATGTAAAGTCTGCTTATACGCCTATAGAAAGGATCATAAATATTAAAAAACATTGAGAGAAATCATTTTAATCCAAAAGTCACCATGTTTTCCACAGATTTTGGGAGAAAAGTTGAAATTTTAAATAATAATGCTGCTGATATCCATCAGCATCCAGCACACGACTGGTTCTAGTGTTGTACTTTGACAGCGTTTGTTGACAATCAGAAAAATACATCAACTTTATTCTTAGAAATGAAAAAGATTCAATATATTTCATATTTTGGAAAGTGTGTAAAATGATACCCAATATCATCGTACACTGTAACTCCAGTGCCAGAACAAGCACGTTTAGAATAAACATAGCGTCATAAAGCACTTAAGTGGAATTCTGTTGTTGTTAAGTGGAGAGTTTAAGAAATTAAGCAGACCCTCAAACGTGTGAGGGACACGCCTGCTCGCACAGGTTCAAACCCCCCCCACACACACACACGCCTTGCTTCCTGTCACATGTCACACACAGCCACGTTTCAGGTGCTGGTGTGACATTTGCGAAGTCTCACAGAGGATGATTGTAAATCTCAGTTTTATGAGCCACATGCTGAACTCCGCAGACTGTTGACCGCTGCAGCCTTGACATTCAAGCGCAGCGCGAAACAACCCACGGGGGCTCCAACTCCCTGGAAGCTGTGATTGATTGGTCTCATGGGGGCAGTGACAGCCACTCACTGTTAGGGTCGGGCTTGGTTCTGTTTATAAAAGTCTTTGTTCATTACCATCAGGACAAGTGGAGATTTGGCAGGCGGTGTTTGCCTTTAAAACATTTAAAGAATGCTCAATATTTGTTTATTTTGCTATAGTTTTGAACATTAGAAATGTACAAAAGATTATTGAATTATAATTGTTTCTTTATGGATGAGTCTTTGACATAAAGGCAGCATTGAAGCTGACTAAACAGGCTGTAAATTCAACCTTCAGAGCTCACAGCCACGCAGCTAGTATCTAATCTGCAAATCTGTTCGGTGACGAGGAGGAGTGGAAAGGAAAGCTTCACAGATTGAATCCTCCAGGCTGGAATGCAATCAGCTCATTAGGAGTAGGTGGAGCCCGGGCCAAGTTTCCACTATTTAGTTTAGGTCATAAGACAGATGCAGCAGTGCTCTCTGGGAGAAAAAAAAAAAACCCCAAAACAACAGAAAAGCTCAGGTTCTTTGTGGGAGAAGTTGTAATGGGATTCAGAGAAGCCGTTTTGTTAGTGTTTGTGCTTTTCCTCTTTGGGGGAAATTCCTGTGCTGCCACACAAAACTGGTCAAACTCGACCACTAATGACACTCTGAACCAAATCCCACAGGAGCAAGAGGCAGCAAGCTTACAGCTGCCGAGATCGCTGCAGGCAGATGATGGTGGGTCAAACTGGACGCAGCCCGGCGGTCCGGTCCGCTCCTTCGTCACCTACCGGCTCACCGTCCACCAGCTCAGGAAGCAAGCGTCGGCCCGGCCTCTCGAGGATGCTTCTCTGAGCCCGCATGTATCGGAGGCCGACGTCCTGGCTCACGAGGAGCAGGTGGAGCCAGAGTCGACTGTGCCACCTCAAGAGTTGGTAAAGCTTGTTCAAGGCCCAGATCTGAACCCACCTGTCGAGCCGGAATCAAAGGTAGGACTTCAACGCAGCCTCTTTTTAAATGTATTTTTTTTTTTTTTATCTTCTGCACCATTCAGTGTAATTCAGCCTAAATGATATTCCAGGTGCAGCCTCGGATGTTTCAGCAGCGGGGGCCCGTGGCAGCCGCCAGCGTGGTGGCACGCTGTGGCGAAGGAGAGGTCGCCGTAGAGGTCAAACAGAACTTCTTAGGTAACTTGTTTGAACTGATCCACGGTGGGGTGATCTTTGTCCGCAGTAGTCGAACGGTGAAGATGGGACACTGATTACTGCAGATGGCACAGACTACCGACACGGCGATCAATATTATGTTTCCTTTTATTTCCTCACTCCGAGAAAGGAGCCCGATCTGTGCTCAAACGCCGACTCTCAGCGATGCATTAAGAGCCCTTTTTTTTTATTTGTCCTGTGGCTGAACCTTCTCTTGCTGTGAGTGTTATTGACTGGACCAGCAGAAGAAATGGCCTCAGGTAATGGTCCTGGTTTAAGCTGCACCTTTTCCCTCTTTGTTCCCAGGAAACGGCCAGTTGATCCGTCCAAGCGATCTGACCCTCGGAGGCTGCGCCGCTCTAGACGCCGACGACCACATCCACTTCCAGTCGGAGTTACAGGACTGCGGCAGCACAATGAGGGTGTGTGCCTCCTTCAGTGTCCATCGACTCTATATCAAGTGGTTGTAACTTTTTTTTTTTTCTCCTCAGATGACTGAAGAAACCCTCATCTACTCCTTTTCTCTGATCTACTCTCCCATTCCTATTGGCAACACCTTCATTTTTAAGACCAACCCTGCTGAAGTGGTAATTGAATGCCACTATCAAAGGTAAAGTCATTATTTGGCATTGCCCTTCTATTAAGTATGCCAGGGAAAAGATTCAGTCTGTCCCAATACATAGTATGTAAATGCAGTACGCCAGAAGTACCAGGATCTTCTATATTCTGACCCACAATCCTCTGCACAGTGGATTTACGAGCAAGAGGGTCAAGGTGCAATATGACAAAGTGTGTCCTAATTGAACGCATACTGCATGTACTTTGTGAAGGTAGTCGCAGTACGTACTAAAAAGTAAACAAATATGCTATTTCGACCGCAGTGATTATTCAATTTGAATGTGCTGTTGTCAGAGATTATCTGCAGGTCTCACAAGGTGGATGAGGTATTTAATTAGATATTTTTTCCTGCAAAAAAGTCATAATGAATAATTCTCGGCCTTATCATCTCTGCTGGTTTTCTTCCATACTCTGGCCAGAAAATGTATATTTGTTTTTTTTTAGACTGCCTCCTATCCGGTATTAAATCTTCTGGGTGAGCATGTTGTTGTGTTTACCTCCCTGTGCCTCTTTCTTGTGAGTGAGGTGTGTGTACACACACACTTTTGTTTGACTGTCCTCGCAGGAAGCTTTACGTGAGCAGCGGCCCCTTGAGGCCTACCTGGACGCTGTTCGCCTCCAGCATGTTGGCGCAGCAGCAGCTGCACTTCTCCCTGCGTTTCATGACAGGTGGGCCAACTAAAAAACAAAGCCACAAACTCCGAGCCGACGTTCTCGCGAGTTTAAAAGCTTTGATTCTCGCCAAGCGGTTTTGGCTAATTCCCCCC